TGAGTATAGTGAAAAAGCACAACTTGAATGGAAGCCACTGATTAGTTATATGACTTGCTTTGGTAAGTTACTTATTCTTTCTGGACAAGTTTCATCATATACTAAGTGAGAATAAAAATATTACCAATTCTTTTTGCTTCACAGGATGATTATTGTATTAGATAAAGAATGTGTGTGAAAATAACTAATAAGTTGTAAAGCATTGCATAAATCATCATTGTTATGATTGCTGATATATATATATATATATATATATATATATATATATATATATATATATCTGTAGAAAAAAAGGTTACAGCTCAGCTGGTGTGGCTCAGTGGTTGAGCGTTGACCTATGAACCAGGAGTTCCTAGTTTGATTCCTGGTCAGGGCACATGCCTGGATTGCGGCCTTCTCTCCCTTCCTCTCTGAAATAAATAAAAATATATTTTAAAACAAAGAAAAAGAAAAAAAAGGCTACAACATAATTTTAATAATATATATGATCCTATTAATTTAAAATTAAAAATATAAAACAAAGAGGTAATACATTATAGAAATTCCACTGGACCCAAAGACTTTAAGAGAAAGAAAACCAGCTAAGAGATGACCACTATGCGTACCTGTTGAATCTACTTCCATAACTGAGAATGGTAAACTCAAGAGAGTAAGATAGGAGTGATAAGAATGAATCACAGCAGAGGAGAGGAAACTTGTATTTCTCACATAAAAATATAGAATTTAATTGCTTAGGTAGAATTTTGGTGATTATGTAAGCAAAATCTACTAGAGTACCCTAGAATCTTACACATAGTAAACATTCAATGAATGTGTGTGAAATAAATGAATTTTCTATACGAGTAAATCAAAGTCTTGAAGGTGATTTAGCAAAGTAAATAATAGAACTAGAACCAAGATCAAGACAAAAAAAGGTAATTCCAATCCAGGATTCTCTACATGCTGCCTTTTTATATATGCCATGTTTCCTCTCATTTTAGCCAGAAACAGCCATAAAAACTGGGAATCTGAGCCTTTCTCTTCATTGTTACAGTTTCAGATCGAATGCTAACAGGGCCCAGACTCTAGTAAGAGAATCTCTTTTAGTTACTGTGAAGAGTTGACACTGACAGAGATAAAGCTAGGTTCAGAATTCTAGGTAAAAGAAAGGTTCAATGTGACAGATTAGACTCCCAGAAAAGCCTCCATTTCTATCAGCTGGGAAGGAGCAAAGAAATTAAACTGCAGAATCTGCCCCCAGGAAGAGAACCATAAGAAAAGGTGAACATCTCTAGACAACAATACATGTGTCTCCTACTTAACAATGCCCTATGTTCATACTGTTAGCTTCTCAACTATTTTTTAATATACGTGGATTCATATATAGGAATTGTATATGTATTTATTTTAGGAAATAATATAGATAACAGTATATTAAAGTGCATTGTTACTAAATTTTTTATCCATAATTAATGTTATGATCTGTGTTATCCAAGGAGAGGTAATACAAGCTATTTCACTTTCAACACGCATTAATGCAGAAGACCAGCAGTGCTCTCAGGAATGAGCACCCACTGTTCTACCCACAGGCTAGTGTGTTTTGCAACCCATGAGGTTATGCCTTTGGAGCGTCACTTTATGCCATTTACTTACTGCTTGACAACCTGCCTTGACTCATAAACCTGTGCAAATAATAATCCTGGGTCTGCCACAAAAAAAATTAAAAATCATAGATTTTTGGAAATAAATAAATTCTTAGAAATTATTAATAATATTAATAATATATAAAAACTTAATGGAGTATAAGCAGTGCAGTATTTTGAATTTGTAGATTTATATTATGTATTTGAAAATGCACACATTTGACCCTTAAACAAGGTGGGATTTTGAGATGCTGACCCTTGGGCAGTAGAAAATTCGCATATTTGACTCTCCAAAAACTTAATTATAGTCATTCCTTGGTATCCAGGGGTAACTGGTTCCAGGATCTCATACATACCAAAATCCGCAGTTACTCAAAGTCCTTTATTTAAAATGCTCTAGAACAATGTATCCTGTAGGCCCCTAACTCCAAGGATCCCAAACCACAGATCAAAAATACTATTTTCAATCCATGTTTGGTTTAACCCATAGTTGCAAAAACCAGGATATGAAGGCTGACTGTATATTTATTGAAAACATCCAAGTATAAGAGGTCCTGCCCTGTTCAAACTCATGTTGTTCAAGGGTCCACTGTACTGAAAACTAATGAGTTAAGCGTGAAACACAAGAAGTTAGAAGACAGCATAATTAACAAAAGGGAGATACAAAGAAGTAAGAAAATAATTTATAGTAAGAACAGATATTAAAAGTAGTAGAAAATAGAGAAATAATCAGAGAGCTAAACAAAGCCAAAAGTTGATTCAAACCTCTAGAAAGCTTGACAAAGAAAAAAATACAAAAAAAAATAATATTAAGACTGAGCAGAGGATTTTACTATGGATTTAACAAACATGAAAAACATACAAGAGAGTTTTATGAACAGTAAAATGTATTACCTAGCAAAGTTGAAGGTGCACGTGCCATACAACTAGCAATTCCATCACGGCAAACTCCAGAAAGACTCACACCCTGTGCGAGCATGTTCTGAATTCAGTCTGCCAGGATGAATAAAGAGATCTGGGTGGCTCTGTGGCAAAGCGTAGTCTCTACCTGGTAACAGTTACATTGAACTGGAGTTGATGTGTCAGCAACAAGTCAATTAGCCTAAATCCTGAGACAGTAGTGCCTGTGTTTGTCATGGGTAAGTGCTAATTTGGTTTCCCAGGAGCTTGGAAACCCCAGGAGGAGAGAGGGCAGCTATGCACTGGGAAGAGGAACTTTGGGGCCTGCTGCTTTCTGAGCCCCCTCCTCAGCATGCTCACAGGTAGCAAGAGGTAAGACAAGGCAGCAGCCACCACACTCCTGTGATTTAGGCTGAGGAACCAGATAGGCACACTTCCTACCTGAGGATTTTTATTCCAGGGATGTAGCTACAAATGCACTTTTGTATCTAACAGCAGGAATGCAAAAAGCTGTTTGCAAAAGGTGTCCTTTACTCCCTGAAACTTTACTAAGTAAGAAATTACTATTCCCCTATGTTTTGGTGAAGCGACAAAGACATAACAGATCATTATGGGGCCATTCCAAGAGCAAATTTTTGCGTTTGTATCTTCTCTTCTCTCTATGGGGATAAGACTAAATTCTTTTTTCCATGCTTTAAAATTCTTCTCTCAGTCATCACTTCAGAATACACCATAACTCTTATGTTGCAGAAAATTTTGTGAAAGGTGGAATCTTTTCTTCTTGTATGTGAGACTGAAAAAATCCAAAACGTTTTGAAAATTTCACCAGAAATTATATTATCTCTTCTACTAGTACACATTTTTTTCAGCAATATGGGTTTTATACCCCAACTTATAAAAGCCTTGATTTTAGAAAATCCTTCTGTAAGCCCAGTGGTAGGCTCTTTGGCCCCTTGAGTGTGGCTCTTCCTAAGCCTTAGGAGTACCCTAATTAAGTTAATAACAATGTACCAACCTATATAGTTTAAGTTTAAAAATATAGTTTAAGTTTAAAAAATTTGGCTCTCAAAAGAAATTTCAATCGTTGTACTGTTGATATTTGGCTCTGTTGACTAATGAGTTTGCCGACCACTGCCTTAGCAGATGATTGCTGCCATCAATGTTTTTATAGATTTTATTTCCTTGGATTTTATGCTAGGTGGATATTTATTTACTTTCTAATCTCAAAACTACCTAGAGATAAGTTTACATTTGTCTGTTTTGTCTTTTTATTTAAAATTTGCTGTTATTAACTCATATTTTCTTTGTACTTCATGCTAATAAACAGATCTATTATTGGGGGTATAGGGCAAATTCAATTCCTCAGCTAGACACAGAATAACCATGTGGCATATAAGATTCTGACAAATAAAGCCATAAAAATTTTAAATGATCTTTAAGATGAGGATTTTTTTTTCTCAAAAGTAGCTTAAGGGAAAGAATTTTCATAGTTCTAAATCTTAAAGCATCACAAGCAAATAAAAATGCAGTTTGATACATTTTACATGTGTGTAGATTTTTATAACTTCATTTGTTAGTTTGGAAGATCTCCTGAACAAGAGATTTTTAGAAAAAGGCTAAATTTTGATGGGTATATTATAGATAGAATTATAATCTGCTGTTAGTGAGGAGATGTAGTTTGGCAGTTAACTGCAGGTGACTGGGAACCAAGCCTCCAGGCCTGCCTATGATTCCAAAAGTGTGGTAAACCTTTCATACCTTCCTATGTCTTCGATGCTCCTTCGGGAGCACACTATATTTAAATCTATCTTACAATCACTATGTAACTTGTACATCTTTAAAAATAAACTGTGGTGTCTGGGACAGGAGTCAATTCGCTCTCACATTTATGGTTTCATGTTTTCAGTTGACTCAACTTGAGTTGTTAGTACTGGGGAATCACTGAGTTTCAGGACCAAGCAATTGATTTGGGATAAAAGATTTTGAACTTTAAAAAGCAATTAATTTATGTTTCCTTTCACCCACAGGTCTACCCACGGATAGCGCCGGCATTTTGGCACTACCTGCGGGTAGAAGTGAATAGCGAGTACTTGACTTCTCCCACCCTCACTCCTGGCTCTCTGCTGGTGTGGTCTGATCTGATGTGCCCAGTTTGCTCAAGATGCAGCTGCCATTCTGTGTAAACATGCTCTCACACCACCATGCCTCAGAGTTGGGTCAAAAATCCAAATCACTGAGAACACAAGTGAAGTTTATATAAGATTAATCATCCTTCTTAATAAATTTCCAAATCAAGACCATATCATATGTATCCTAATGATAAATAACTAAGTGCTAAATTATGGAAAACCGTAATTACACCTCTTTTTAATCAACACTTTTGATATTCTGGGCATAATTCCTCAGCTTAACTTTGTATGCATCTAGGAAAAATTAGAATAACTGAATCATTTGCATTTTCTTCTTTTCTGTCCCTAGGAGCATGAGCAGCTCACCTACTCCTCCACGAGGTCCAAGGCCCCCAGTGTCATCATTACAGGTCTCAAGCCAGCCACCAAGTACATATTCCATATCCGAGTGAGGACTACAGCAGGATACAGTGGCTACAGTCAGAAGTTTGAATTTGAAACAGGAGATGAAAGTAAGTTTCACACAAGGTATAGAGTAAGATGTTCATTTAGTACCATTCCAATAGTGAAAATCTAATATCCTGATAGTTAAAAATCTAATGTCTCAAAATTTTAATAGTCTTATCAAACAGGATTCTGTTCATGCAAATCGTCATATGGCCATATCGGTTAAAGTTTTACTGTTATCCATGTAATATGACCCCAATATGTCTCTTCATGCAGAATTCATCACTTACACTATAACACTGATTCTCAGTAGGTGGTTAGCCTAAATGGTCTTCAGTGTTGGCATCATAATATGAGGCTAGTGAAAACTTGGGAGAGAATAAAGCCATGAGAAAATGATTTTAGGAGTTATTTCAATATTTTGCAGCTTTGGCTTATCTCAGTTACACCATTGAAATGCACATTATAAGTTTAAATGTAGAAGCATGGGCTTAATTAGAAATTCAAATTAGTTCCATAGCCCCAACTCACTGACAACCAAAATGGGAGATGAGGGACTGAGGTATTTCAACATCACATAACGTATGTGTTGAAATGTCTTACTCATTCTAAGCCCACCTCCACCACTGAATTCTTTTTTGGGCTTTAATATTCATCTTATTGCTCTCTTTGTATATGGGTGGCTCTTGCAATGTTCCTGATTAGAAAAATGTCTATCTAGTCATCATTGATAAGAACTCAAAAATAGAGAATTTATTATAAAATTCTTTATGAATAATGGCAGTAATAGCTACCATTTATTGAGCCTCTAAAAATACCAGAAATGATGTGAGGTATTTACATGTATTATCTCATTTAAACTTTTCACCCTTCAAAGAGACAAGTATTATTTTCCTAAATTAACTTGTGAGAAAACAAAAGCCTAGAGAAATTGAGCCATTTGTTTAGATTCAAGAAACTAAGCTAATATTTTAGGGAGGTGGTCTGTACTCTTAATTGCTCCATTATCTTGCCAAGTCCTTTCATTTGAATTATTAATAATGCTAATGGTAAGACCACTAATTAGGCTACATTTTTTCTCTAGTTTATCACTTCCTCAAAGTGAAGCTACTTGGGTTTCAAATTCTGTGATGGAGCAAATGTTTTGTTTGTTATTTTTATGCTGATGAACAATACTGATCCATAAGAAATTCTTTGGTACAACTATATCTAACGAAAGAGTGAAAAAAGCACTGACTTGTTTAATTAAGAGGGAACACAGTGTTGGGAGAGTAAACCAATGAGTAAAAAGAATACTTATGGCCTGGATGTTTAATATCAGTGATAGTTATTTATAATTCTGCTGGAGACTATTGTCTTTTCAAGCTAGAAATTATTGGGACAAGAGTGTAATTATCATAAAGCATAGCTCCATAATAAAAAGCAATATTAAAATACCCAAAGAAGTGTTCCTGCTATGTTCTGTTGACTATTTTTTTCTGACCACATGTCAAGACTTAGGCTAGGTACAAAGCCAAGGATGCAACTCAAGGCAAGTTTGCTCCAGGGAAAAGTCTCATCATTGTCCTATCACAGCTATATCTATTTCCTCCCTGCACCCAGTTCTCTTACTTTATTTTACATAGGAAGAAATTAACCTAACTTCTCAAAAGTATGACATTTTGAATATTATTTCATTGAGTTAGAAGTACACTCTCAGACAAACTCATAGGCCTAAAGCTAAGTAAGTCATTTGTGTTCATCTGGCACTTCTAGACAAGGCAATCCAGTTAATAAGAAAACAATAAGGTCTGATCTTAATTTGATTTGGTTTTAATTCTAAATTTCAACTCATACTTTTAGATGTTATATAAAAGAAAATACTTTGAAATTCCTTAGCTGAAAAGTCCTATACTCACCAATGACCCAGTGCAATATTTATTCTTTTGGCAAAAAATGTAGAGGACACTTACATGTGTGCCATTCTCTGAGTGAAGTTCTGGGGATAAAAATAATAATAAGAGCTATTGCCTTCACATAATTTATAGTTTAGATTTGTGAAAGGAAAATGAAAAATGCAGTATTGTATGACATGTACTACCATAGAGTTAGGTAAAAGGTGATATGAGGCATAGAGAAGTGGCCCTAGTTCAGCACAAATGGTCATGAAAGGTTCCTGGAGGATGAGAAATGAGGGCTCATTCCTGAAAGTGGAGTAGTAAAGAAATAGCAAGAGTACTAAGGCCTGAGACAGCATGAAAAATTAAAGAAGAACAAATAATTTGGAATGGTTACAGTGAAGAGACATGGAAGGCAAAATGGTAGGAGCTAAAGGTGGAGAGTTATTTATACGGGGGCTAAAATGCAGGCACTTTTCTGGCCATATTAAGGATATTGGGTCTTATGAAGACATTGAGGAACCATAGAAGGAATTTAATCAGGCAGTAACGTGACCAGTAACAGGTGTAGACTATGCTGAACAATTTGCACAAATTACCATATTAATTCTGACAAGATTATATTTATTTTTAGAAACTTAAGTAGCTTTCCCCAAATATGATAACCAATCAGTAGATGTGAAGGATTAGAACCCTAGAACCATCTGATAAAGTCAGTAGCAGACAGCAAAAGCCACTTTCTAATTACTGATTTATAAATGTCATGAAAGTGACTTTTATTAGAACCTGGAAGAGACAGAGTGTCTGAGAAGTATCTGAAAAATGTTTGTCTAAACCTGGAGTTTGGGAACATAGAATGGCTCCCAAGTCCATTTGCAGCCTAAGGCAAAGTCATTTAAAGGATCACTTTTTATCTGGTTTGCTTTAAATTTCATTTTCAAAGCGTGCTGTTTATATCCAGAAGAGAATTTCAATGAATAATGTCATAGTAGGATATGGATAGGTTTACTATAAATTCATAGTAATTTACTATAGGTCCAATCTACTACATCAGTCTTTTTCTCTTCATACCCTCCTAGCTCATCTTTAAATTTTTATTGCTTTGTTTCTCAAACATTGTAATATCAACTTTATTATTATGTTATCTCGTGTGTATTCTGTTTACTTAGCTAACCATATATATATATATATATATATATATATATATATATATATACACACCACACGCACACATATATATATATATATATATATATATATATACTAATAAAAGGGTAATATGCTAATTAGACTGGGAGACCTTCTGGATGTCCTTCCGGACAAAGCCATGGTGGCAGGGCTGAGGCAGAGGTGGTTAGGGGCGATCAGGCCAGGAGGGGAGGGCAGTTGGGGGTGATCAGGCCAGCAGGGGGAGCAGTTGGGGGTGAGCAGGCCAGCAGTGGGGGGCAGTTAGGGCCAATCAGGCCAGCAGTTGGGGGAAGTTGGGGGCAATCAGGCCAGCAGTTGGGGGCAGTTGGGGTCAAGCAGGCCAACAGGCAGAGTAGTTAGGGGCGATCAGGCAGGCAGGCAGGTGAGTGGTTAGGAGCCAGTGGTCCCGGATTGCGAGAGAGATGTCCAACTGCCGGTTTAGGCCCGATCCTAGGGATCGGGCCTAAACCGGCAGTCAGACATCCCCCGAGGGGTCCCAGATTGGAGAGGGTGCAGGCCAGGCTGAGGGACACCCCCCCATGCACAAATTTCATGCACTGGGCCACTAGTATATATATATGCCTAGAGATGGGGTGTGAGTTGGGGAGAAGAGTTTAGGTACTCTCTCATTTAATGGCCTGGTTCAATTTTTTTAAATTAAGCAAAATGAAGTAGTTTACAATTTAATTCTCTTAGCCATACCTATTTTGCTTGGTTCAACTTTTAGTTTGCTCATAACAAGTAAGACAATATCATAGAATATGAAATAATTTCTTTTCAAATTCATCATGTTCTTAACACTTGTGCTCTACAAACATAGTGATATTGTGGTGTCACTATGGTGACTTCTCTTGTTCTTTTAGACCAGTGGTTGGATTTATTTCCAGAGTCAGAATATGCTAATGAAAACCAGCTAACAATGTAAAGGTTACTAATTACTATGACTGTGAGCATTATTTAAAAAGTCGCTTTAGTGCTATTGGTTTCCTTTCTCACTAAGTCTATAGAACAACCTCATTTCGGTAGTATAAATGGAGATAGGTATAGGAAGATAGATGCATAGGTAGGTAAGTAGGGAGGTAGGTAGGTAGGTAGGTAGGTAGATGATTGATAGACAGATAGATAGATGATAGATATTCACTTATCTATAGTCACAAAAGACTTTCTGTGTTTCAATGCTGATATTTCATATGTTTGCTAATCTCTCACTGTTCTGAGGATATAGCTAAATATTATGTCCACTGACAGCATTCCTTGAGTGCTTAATATGTACTAGCCTTTATATTAGGTACTATAATTGATTCCCTGGAATAAATTTATCAAATAACAGTTAACTACACAATCAGTAGTAAGAAAATAAGAATATATAAATATTCTATGTGGATATTCATGAAAGATAGATGGAAGATAAGTGGTAGTTAGGAGCTGTCTAATATAAGAATTTTTGCAAAATGAAAATAAAATTCATATTATGCCACAAAGTATCAAACACACACATACATATGTTCAATACAGCGCTTTTTGGACTAAAAGGATGAAAAAAACAAGAAATTTTAATAGCTTCATATTTGTTATTTCTCTTCTTATTTGCTGGAGAAAATGAACTTTTGTCCAATGAAGAAAAAGATGAGAATTAAAGTTAAAAAGTTATCTACAAAGCAAATAATATCCATATTCTTATAAAGTGCTTAAAATATATTTGATTTAATCTTTAATAACCTATTGAAATTACACCCCACATATTTTAAAAAGTAATACAAATAATTTACAGAGAAGGAAGTCAAATGTTTGTTCTTACTTAAAACACCACCAGATTTATCTAATACTAGAGGCCCAGTGCACAAAATTTGTGCACTAGGATGGGGGGTCCCTCAGCCCAGATTGTGAGAGGGCGCAAGCCAGGCCAAGGGACCCCACCGGTGCATGGGCCGGGGAAGGACATGGGAGGTTGGCCAGCCGGGAAAGGACTGCAGGAGGGCTCCAGGGCATGTCTGGCCCAT